GATGACCCCGCTCGCACTTGCACATTTCTCGCGAACTCCGTTTGGGTGGTGGTTTTCGTTTTTCTGATTCTTGGAAGAATCCTTGGCAGGTTACCGTGGACAAACGAGAGGAAAGGTGGGCTCCTCAGAGCCTGCCCCTCCCCGTGTGCCTTCTTCCTGTGTTCAGGTTAAAACCCGCATCCTCCAGGATATGGGAGTCTTACCTAGGCCTCCAGCTGACGGGGGCCTAACCTTGTATTGCTCCTGGGCAGAGGAGTTTGGGAACCACGTGGCCAGCTGTGCAGAGAACCTGGCCCCACCGCAGGGGAAACCTGTTTGTGGTGGTCAAGCCAGAGTTTCTCAAACTTCCTGGACCTGGAACCCTTTCTAGTGGGCAAGCCATTGACTTGGTGTTCCATTTGGAACATCCTTTGGGAAACTCTGAACAACACTTAGGCTCCGCAGTGTTTGTTGCTGACTTCTCCGACTCTCCAAAGCCTCAGTCCCCCCACTCAGCCCCCCCACTCTTGGCAGGGGACCTCTGTTCTTCCCATCTGGGGTCCCAGGAGCTCTGTGGCTCCGCCGTCTTTCCGTGTAGAGATCTGTCCCCATGTGACCATCGTCCCCTCCCCCCCATCTCCGCCCCACAAGCAAGCCAGACCCCCCGGTACCTGGGGACATCCGCCCTGGACCCCTTCTCCCAGCTGGTGGGTGGCCGTGTCCCCATTTGCAGGGACAGGAACCTGTATGTAAGGAATGTTCTTCACTGTGGCCCCCTCTCCCCCCGCCCAATCAGTGTTTTTAAATCTTTGGCACTTGATCCAACTTGCCTGCCCAGGAATCTAGCTGAAGATGCTATCTGACTTAGCACAAAAATGACATATTTGGTTATTTTTAGTGTAACATCTGGCATTCTTCAGGGACCCTGTGACTTGCAGAACACCACCATCCGATCCCACTTGAGAATCACCATCCCCTCCCCAGACCTGCCCTGACCGACTCTGGCCTCAGAGTCCAGCCCCCTCTGCCGCTTAGCCACTGCCCTGCCACCACGGGCGCCAGCTGCCTCCTTCAGCCAATTTCAGTTCTCAGGCCACGGGCCCCTCTGCTCCCACCCCGCCCCCCTGCTCCATCCTCACGTTCTCATCTCAGGACCACCTAGACAGATGGTCACATCAGTGCTGGGGCATCTCATTCGGTTATTCATTCAGAAATTACTTTCTAGGGGCTGCTGGGGGCCAGGCCCATCACATCCAACTCTAGGTTTGTCCAGGCCCAGCTGTTCCTGTCACTTAATTTTATATCCCAGCCATGAGTACAAGGCTTGGCCCATAGGAGACAGTCAGGGAGGGAGGATGCATGGATGGATAGATGGACGGATGGATGGACAGATGGATGGATGGATGGATGGATGGAGGGATGGAGGGATGAAGGATGGAAGGAAAGAAGGGAGAAATGGATGGATGGACGAATAAATGGATGGATGAATGAATGGAAGGAAGGAAGGAGTGATAGAAGGAAAGAAGAGATAGATGGATTGATGTAAGGAAGGAAGGGAAGGAGGGAGGG